GAAACCAGCCCCGGAGAGTGTGTGTCAAGTGCCTGGGATGGATGAGGATCGCTGCACCCCGGCCTCTGACAGGCTCTCCATCTCCTGTGAGCTGCCTCTGGCGTGTTTTGCATATATCTGTGGACCAGGCTGGAAGTGCCTGCTGGAAATTGATGAGTGGAAGTTAGACCAAGCCTCCTGGCCAGGAGACCACACTCGGTTGCTTGCCGTTAGCTGATGGGGAGACCTCCCTCCTTCATTTCCTGAGATGGCCCAGCTTCCCGGGGCCACGCCCCACGCCAGGCGCACCTCGCTCTCCTCTGAGTTTATTCTGGACGGTTCGGGATGCTTAGTGCCCCACCCCCACTGATGCCGCTTTATGTCATCCCACTGCAGCAGCGACAGGAGAGAAGAGAAAATGTGGTCGCGTGTCAAAAAGGACAAAAAGAAACTTAGGCTTCAGAAATAGTGAGACAATCAGGAAAATCATATTTATGAGTATTTTAAAAAAGGAAATTCAGGAAAAGAACAGTGCTGTCAGGATAGGTCAGTGGTTGGTGGTTTGATGCTATTATTGCCTTCTTGCACATAGGCACCTTTCCTAAATGATTGACAAGTGTTTAATTTATGAACAAAGGCATCTGTGCTCTGTCTCAAGGAAGGTCTGACTGAAATGCAGTGGTGTGAACATAGCCAAGTTGTAAATGGTTTGTGCCAGGAAGTTCTTGACAGCAACTTGAACCCAAGTCCGGTGAATGGTAGCCAAGGTGTTACAGTGAGAAGGGGAGAGGATGCAGCATCCTGGCCACGTGGCTCTCTAGGGAGGAGCAGGGGCAGGAGAGGAGAATCAGATCTGAAATCCAATCTGAGGAAAAGTACTGGCCCTTGTCCTGATCAGACACTTAGCTTCTGAAAGCACAGTGACCTGCTAACCATCAGCGAAGACAGATCGTCGGCTCTGCGATCCTGGAAGGCCGTGCGGAGTCTCCGGTCCCGCTGTTTTCCCTTTCCTCTGCAGCCATGGCTAATGGTGCAGCCATCACCCGCAGCAGGCATAAATCCTTCCTCCCACAAGAGGATCTTGGCTGGATGTGACGTTTATAGGGCTATAGGAGCAGCTGGCGATGTCGGATTCAAGGCGAGTAGGTTGTCTTGGACGTCCTATTTAGCAGATGGCCAGGACTTGATAGATTGAAGATTATTAGGACCCCAGTCAAGGGCCAAATGGCACGGTGGGCAGGAAAAGTAAATGGCAGTGCATATCTGAGCCCAGGCACGTGCAATCTGAGAGGGCTCTTGGCCTCCCTTTCATTTTTCTTCAAGAATGAATAAAACACAGGCCCACCTAGAGCCTGGGTTATAGACACATCTTCAGAGATTATTGATAACTTGATTATTAATGTGATAGTTGGTTGAACGCTTCTGGTGAGCTGTTATTTGGAAAGAAAATTTTATGAAGTTTGGATTTCATCAGCATTTATATACATTTGACCTTTTACCAAACCTGCCTGTCGTGGTCTCCTGTATGGCTGATGTCTATGGATTTTGGTTCTATCTAAACCAGTGGTTCTCAACCTTCTGGCCCTTTAAATACAGTTCCTCATGTTGTGATCCAACCATAAAATTATTTTCGTTGCTACTTCATAACTGTAATGTTGCTACTGTTATGAATCGTAATGTAAATATCTGATATGCAAGATGGTCTTAGGCCACCCCTGTGAAAGGGTCGTTTGACCGCCAAAGGGGTCGCGACCCACAGGTTGAGAACCACTGTCTAAACACACTTCAAGGCTTTAACTCAAGCCCTAGGTTGCATTTGTGTGCCATCCTTTTTGAAGATGACAAGTGTCGTGGAAGCTGCGCCCAAATGTAAGTTTTGCAGCGAGAGCACCCGACTGCCGGGAAAGGGGAGTCCATTTCTCCTCGTCCATCCGAAGCTCATTTGTGCAATCGCTGCCTCCTCGGTATTGCTGCATAACTCCTTTGATCTTAAAGTGGGAGGAAGCAAATTTCAAGAGCCAGGAGCACTCCTCATGTGGCTTGAAAAGGAGTAGCATAATAGGAAATTGAGCGGATGTCAAATAAAACATAACTTTGGATTTTTTTTTTTAATTTGAACTCAAGTAGGTGCTACTTCTAGAGCTAAGTGCACTGAGAAGTCCAGGGGTAAGATTGCTGTTGGTTGACAATGATTCAAATTTGAGTGTTTGGGTCAAGTTGTTTCCCAATCATGTCTACCCCTATTGAATGTTGCATCTGTACTCAGCTCTATACCCTGAGCTGTACACATTTACTCTCAGTTAGGGTCATGCCTGACTGGAACAAATCCACTTATGAGCATGCTATTTGGATCCTCACCCTGAGCTTTGCAACCAAGACATCAACTAGAGAATGAGCTTAGTATTATTACTAAGTTACCTTGACTGGACAATAATCTCCATTTTCCTTTCCCTTTCTCCTCACCCATTTTCTCAACCCCAGCCACATAAATTAGCAATGGAGGCAGTGGAGGCGAATGGGCATTGCAGGAGGCATTCCATTTATGGGCTTGCTTTGAATCTGAGCTTGAATGAGACCAGGCCTGAGTAATCAGACACAGGGATACTGTAGTCAGAAGTGACCAGAAATTGAACTTGGATTTGATGGTCTGCTTATTTCCCTCTTGCATGGGCTACAGATGTGATTGGTGGGTGTAGTCATGGAGGATTAGGAATACTATTTTTGAGCTTTCACATTATCATATAAAACTAAATGCACTTAAGGGTCCCCATAAATACAAAATATTCCCCTGTCTGCAATGTTCCCATTGGAGAGGGGGTGACTCAGTTTTAGAGAAGCATATGAGTTGATCAGGTTGACAGCAGATGCTGTATCTTGTGACATTGAATTCCACTGAGAAACCTTGAGGACAAACCATAAGCAAAGGGTATTGGTTACAAAAATTATTGCTATCTTAGCCTGTCCCCTATCCTCTACTCTACACACATAGAAGCTCTAACAGCTAAGTTTTGCTCTGTAACAAATGATCCCAAATAATTAAAACAATAATGATGTAATTACTCTATGATTCCCATTTGGGTCAGCTTGACTGGTCTCTGCAAACTGAAGTTCTTCTGAGGCTGGGTGGTCTCGGATGGACTGGTGGGTCTAGAACAACCTTGGCTGAGTCTGCCTGTGTCTGCTCCATGTGGTCTCTCATCCTCCAGTAGGCTAGCCTGGGATTGTTCACTTGGCAGTCTCAGGATTTCAAAGAGTAATAAGAGAGTATAAACCCCTTCACTTAAGTCCTATAGAAACCTCTTCCTATATCACGTTTGCTAGCATCACATTGGCCAAAACAAGTCACGTGATCAAGCCCAGTTTCAGAGAGATATTTACTATGTAGGACCAAATCCCACGTTATTTTATTAGTCTATAAACATAACACCATACATAATGACACCCAAAGATCCAGACAGTAATAGATAATCACTGTTAAATTATAGAGCATCTAACCCGGTCCCTCCACCCCAACTTCCACACTGTTATCTTGAACAGTTGGGGGTGGGGGACCCATTCTCAGCATTATGGGATGTTTAGCAGCAGCCCTGCCTCTACCCACTTGATGCTAGTAGCCCCTCCTCCTCCACCGCTGCTTGTGACAACCGACAATGTCTGTGGACATGGCCAAATGTCCCCTATAGGGATGGGGAGTGGGAGATAGGTAAGATTGCCTCCAGTTGAGAACAACGGCTCTAAGCTGGAGACACTGAAGCAGAAGAAAAAAAGAAACTTGTGAAGTACAGGTTATTATCAAAGAGCAAACTGGGAGCAGCAGCCCAGCAGGGAGACTGTAAGTGGGGAATGAGAGTAGACATTTTTCAGTTACCTTAAAATTTAACCTAAGATGGCCCCGGATTCCTCTGGATAACTAGGAAACATCAAACTGGGTCTTGCTGCACATCGAAAGATTCATCAATATCTCAACTTCATTATGTTACAAGTGGATTAAAAGCAAATACCTTCCCTGAAAAAAAAAATTCAGGAGCTATGCTGGCAACAGATAATGGATTTTGAAAAACTCTTTATTTGGGAGAAGTTAAACATACACAGAAGTAGAGAAAATTGTATCGTGATCCATCCAATACTCATCACCCAAGGTCATAAATGATTGATGAGTGGCCAGTCTTGTTATATCTATATTCTGCTCACTTCCCCTACTGTTCAGTCCTGCATTATTTTGAAGCAAATTCCAGTCATTTCATTTCACTGGTAAATATTCAATGTGTCTTAAAGAAAGTACCTAGAAACCAAAATTATAATACGCTGGTGGAATTTTAAACTTCTAGAAAGGGCAAGAATGAGAATTTATGCTGAGTAGTATCAGAAAGTTAAGGGAAAGAGTGGGTGAGGGTCAAGATCAAAGAGGCTTGACTTATGGGGAGATTTAAAACCCCAGAAGGAAATGAAGAGGGGAGACACTGTCTCTTCGAACTCTTCTGTCCTCTCCTCTCCTCTCACCTCGCCTGCTCTGAGGGACCCTTAGAAACGCCCTTTGTAGTATGTGATAAGATACAGGAGACCAGGGTTCTTAGAAGGAGAGTAAGCTGGCAGGGAACAGATCATTTTCTTAAAAGAAAAGAAATAAACACAATCACAGTAAGGCATTGAAATATTCAGTCAGTGATGGATTGCTCTCTGACGACTTTCAATGACTTTAGCCGATCAGGGTCTATCTACTTTTAATAAAACAAAGAAGGAGGACAAAGTCTTGCTGTTGCTTTTTAAAATTTTGCTAGGACTATGGTATTTCTTCCCCGCTCTCGTGTATTCTGAGAAGTTTCTTTCTTTTGATTTAGACTTCCTCACTTGATTTTATTATGCCATAAATCTATGTTTGGCGAGAGCCAGGGTATATGTGAGACCTAAGCAGCTTGCTAGATAACATCTATTTCCCCCTCCTTCTCTTTAGAAGATTAAACCGAGACTGTTGTGTCTGATGCCAGAATAGATTTAACCAATCATGTTTCCTTTACATGTAGGTCAGTCCAAGGGACAATTCTGCGCTGGATCCTATTATCCATGGGCTGAAGGGCGTCGTACATCATGGTAAGTAAGCCACGTTCACTTCCTTTTGCTGGGAGGTGAAGGGCTAAGATCTTCCTACAGAAATGGGTTATCTTGCAGAGGACAGAGGGTGACACTCATTCCTCATCCCCTGATGTTGAAGGGCATTAGAGCCATTATTTGATGGGTAAGGAGCACGCCCATTTATTACCTACAAATGGATCTGGGTTAACAGTAAGCAATTTATTTCTTTTCAGGTACCACTCTGAATGCCTGTGTCATAAATCAAAATGCCCTGAGATGTACCTACCATTCATATGCTTTGAACCTGCCACTTGTCTCATCTCTCTTCAAAAAACAGTCTTCTTTCAAGTAGCTTTTAATTTATAAATTTCTTGATTTGCCTCTCAGATTGAGAGGGAAAATTTTAAGTAGCTGTGACAAGTCATTAAACTTTGCCGCATGTGAGCAGGCACCATCAGCTCCTCGAAGGGAGAGAGCCCGGCCGTAGTTCTGTGCAGCAGACGTCTTATCCCGGGGCATAAAACTGGGAGAGAAAGTAAGATAAATGGGTTCTGTCTTTCCCAACTGGTTTTTATTGGAGAGATTTTCCTGCAACTTTATTATCGGTAATACATCATGACCTGTGACATCAGGATCCTCCAATTTCAAAAGTACCCTTGTCGCAGCGAGGGGCGGAGTCTGGATGTAATGTAATGATTTTCAAAGGTTTAATAATCTAAGTAGAATTTCAAAGACATTGACGGAAATAGCATTAGTAATCATAATAAATCTCCCCCTTATCTCCACGCTGTGATAAAATGTCTTGCACCAGCTGGGAGGATTGTCTTTAGACATTAGCCAACTCTGCAGTATTTAACTATCCCACCTCCCCCTTTTTAAGGGAAATTAAAACCAGCTGCCAGTGTTTGATTGCAGCAGGTGAAATTTTGGATCGATCTGCTCCTGTATCACACAGCAGGTGACAAGAGTAAACCTCATCACAGTAGAGAAAAGACCCCATGGAGGTGTTCATTGTAGGAAGTGTCTACGGCTTCTTCTCAGTTTCAGTTTGTTGTGTCTTTGAAGCAGACCTCACAGAGCTGCGAAGTAGGTCGTATGACAGGCCCCCTAGGGAACAAGGCACCGTTGCCAAAACTGCTTCTGTCTGCACATTTGTGCTTGATGTTGGTCGCAGAGTGGAGTGTGGGCAGCTTCGGCGGTGCAGAGAAAGCTGGTGTGTGGGCAACACGATGTGTATTCTGAGCTCCTTTCCCCAAAGGTCCCCTGGCACACGCCATTGATCAGACTCCTTCTTGACATTCCGGTCCATAGTGTAGATTCTGAGTTTGGGTGTTTGAGAAACATAGTAAATGATAATATTAGGTCTTCCTTTCCCAGACGAGTCTTCCTTTTTTTAAACCAACACACTGGAAAGAGTTCTAGAAACTTCAAAACAGGTACCTGTTCTTCAGCCAGAGAGGACGCGCTCCACCAGCTGTGGCATCTGAGTAGCCCCGGGTGTGCTCACTTCCACAGAGATAACGGAAGGAGATCCCCTATGTTACCGACAGCAGTGGGCTCCCTTGAACTCTCAGATCCCCAAATCTCAGCACACTCACTGCATGGTCACCCTTCAGTTCATCAGCTGTGTCCTGGCACAATCCTGGCGTCTTTCCTCCCTACCCACCATGGCCTCCAAGGCGCTGTCACGTGTAGGGAGACTCTCCCGGGCACAGGAGGGTGGCAGGCGTCTGGGCTGCAGCTTCTGCCCCAGCTTCGGATTGACAACCCAGAGGAGACCTGCAAAGAAGCCATTACCTGCAAAGGCCGTGCACTCACTTTTTCAGTAAGAGTGTAGCACGTCTACTCTGTGACATCACAGGGCTGGCCCGTTGACTGGGACCCACACAGGCCAGCCCTCAGGGACCTGGCAGGGAGGCGAAGTGCTACCTCCCCGGGACCCAGCCTGCCCAGTTCACCCCTGTCAGCCTGTGCACTGGCTGTTTCTGTTTCCTCTGTCAGGAAGGTTCTGGAAGCCCCTTAGCTCACAGAAAGGGGGTCGCCCTCTTACTGTTTCTGTTCGCAGTTCATACCTTGCCTCCTCAGAAAGTTCTTAACCGTCTTAGCAAATTACCCACCCTCTCCCCGCTCCCTGTCACATCATCCTAGGTTTCTTTCCTCAAAGCGCTTAGAAGTATCTGCAATTACCTTGTTTGCTCACCACTCACATATTACCTACGAAAGCATACGCTTCATGACGGCGAGAACCCGTGCATGTGCGGCAAATAGTAGATGCTCAGTAAACATTAACCAAATGAGTGGGTCAAGTAAGCATACACATAAGAGAAAATATCAGCACGTAAGACTGGAAGAAGGGGAGGAGACACCAGAGGCCCTCGGGGTTTGCTTCAGTTGGGAAGAGAAAGGAGTGGAGAGGAATCCTGCCCTTGGTTCTCAGGCTGTTGCTGACTTCCGTGGTGACAACCCTCATCGCTTCCGTCATTCTTGCAAAGGAGAATGGGCTTCAAATGGCTAAAAAAGAATGTTGTTGTTGTGGAAACTAGAAGCATTTTCAGTTGCAGGCCCAGTGAGGGATTTGAATGCTCTGCCTATTTGATGGGACATGAGTAATCGTGCCCTTCACAGAATCTCCGGCTTGGGAATGATGACAGAGATGTGTAAAGAAGAAAAAGTCAATATGGATTTTTGTTGTAGTTCAGAATTAGCTTTGATTTCTTCAGCTCGGGGAGTCATATCGTGGAATATTGATGTCTCATTAAGTGAATGTTTTATTAATGGGAGGAATCTTCTGTTCCTTCAGCCCAGATGGGAATGAGTAATCTGGCCACTCCAGCCAGTCATCCCTGGCACTTGGTCACTCGGGTTCTCTGTGAAGCAGACTCCGTGATGGAGTTTTAATTGCAGGAGGGTTTTTGTGGGGAGGGACTTCCTGCAAAGGATGAAGAGAAGAGGCAGCAGGAGCAGGTGGGGCGAGTGTGGGACCGCGGTGCAGGTCTGGCACCTCTGAGAGGGTCAGGAGCCAGGAGGATGGCTGAGGAAGTCCTGGCCAGGCTGTCGGAGAACCGCAGGGCAAGGCTGCGGGCAGGAGTTGTATGTTGGGCGGGAGCGGCCCAGCCCGGGTCCCCAGCGTGTGGTCATTGGCTGGAGCACCCAGCGGCGGGGTGTCCACGTGGACACAGTGGTGGGTCCCGAGGCCCGGCACCTGCAGGCTGTCCACCTGAGGAAGGAGGGTCCGCGGGGAGCATTTCCACACCTGGCACGGAGGTTCTCGTCCTTCCGAAGACATTTTCCTAATCACCTTCCGGTCCTCTCGCTTTTAAAAGACTCTGTGGTTGCCCTAGCTGGCTTGGCATAGCTGTGATATTATCAACAATAAAAAATAGATTAAAAATAATAAAACATAACAAATATATAAAAAAATAAAAGCCTCCGAGGTTCGTACCGCAGTGCTGTTCCCAGGAGAAATACCCACACAGGACTCGTACATGGGAGCTTTGTTCCTCACTGTCCCACAGTGGCAATGTGGCCAGTGCCAAGAGATGATCTCCCATGTCAGTTAAAAGTGTTTATTTTTTCTTTCAAGTTTTTGGATTACCTACTCTTGTTCTTTTTCATGGTGTCCACCCCAACTTCACACGGTTATTAAGTACTTAATCTAAGTATACCACGAAGCCAGGCCCGGAGGGCGCCCCCAAGGTGGACCAGCCCTTCCTTAAGGAGTTTATGGACTCTTGGGAGAGGCAGGTTAAGCATGTAATCACATTGAAGAATGGGAGCAGAACACTGAACTCAAACGTGGGGGCTTAGAGAAGGCATCTCAGATAGAGTGACCACTAAGAGGAGTGTGGGGCGGGGAGCAAAAATAAAAAGGGCTTAAGGAGTGGTAGAGGTTGTCCAGCAGAGAAGGGAGCGCTGGGCTGAGGCAGGACCCGTAGAGGAGAAGGAGCCTGCTGTTTGAGGCGCTGAGCTCAGCGACGTGCTTCTCTGACGCTGGGGAGAAACACCTAGAAGCCTTTTGGCAACACAGAGTGCTGCTTCTACGTGTTTATTTTTCTGTGTAAACTGTGATTTTTAACAACTTGAGAGCCATGAAGAATTAGAACTAGAATGGAGAGAGGGGATTTGCCATGGATGTGGTCCTATCTACCCATCGAGCAATAGAAGGAAACACTTCAAAGTACCTGATCAGGTATTTTATTTACTACCAGTGACTGCAAGAGAGGCAAGTTAGAGGGAGAAATTGTGAATCCTACTCCCTGCACTGACTGGTCATGTATAGGGCTTTTCTAAGCGAGAAACCCAGCCATGAGAGTAGCCAAACCTCTGAAAATATTGGTTCCGAAGAACGTCGTCTAGTTCTCATTTGTGAAACTCCGTTTTACTGTGTCCACACTGCACATGCACAAGCTGGTGTGGGAGCTGGGATAGAAACGTGGCCTCCATGACGCGAGGTTTACCCAGCTGCAAGTGCTAGGAAGTGGACATGATCTCCCATGTCAATTAAAAAGTGTTTACTTTTTTCTTTCAAGTTTTTGGGTTACCTACTCTTGTTCTTTTTCATGGTGCCCACCCAAACAGCAGGCTGTTTTGGTACATATTCTAGAAAACTGTCAAAAGACACCGAAACACTAGCCACTCCCTCTTCCGTTATGTCAGAAAGACCAGTTTTTTATTTTTGAAAGGAAACTTGCTGTTGAGCTTTGACTACCTGCCCTCTTTTCCTGTCCCCTCCTTGCCATCACTTCTTACTTCGCAAATGGACCACTTTGCAGTGCAGGGGAAGTGAGGGGAGGGGGGGCAGTTAGAAATGGCCTCAGGTACTGGCCAGAGTGAGATGACTCAGCGTCCTGTCCTTGCTCCCCAGGCTCTTCTGGGAAAGCCATCAGTGAGAGTACCAGTAAATTATTACCTGAGAACACTTTTGTGAATGTCACAAAATGAGACTCCTGGAAGCTTCTGTTAACACTGTGCAAGTTGGGGCTATGACAAGATCAAAAGTTTTTTTGTAGCCTGGCCTG